TGTCAGTCTGCTGGAGGTCCCTTCCGTCACCATTGTTCTCTTGGTGTCAGGAAAACTTGTCAGAAGTGACTCAGGCTGATAGCAGAGGAACAAAGCAGCAGACAGAAATGATGCTTAGTACTGTGGACCGTGACAGTACACACTATAGACTGATATGCTTGCTTTGTTCATATTTCAAGTCTGAGGTTTGTTTAGAACCGCATTAAGGCCTTGTCACACTTTCTCAAAATACTATTGCTGGACAAATGCACCAAAAGTGAAAGTGAAAGAAATGTTGGGCTGTCCTCGGAACATGAATAGTAAGGATATCTTCCAATGGGGGCACTAGTGCTGGCGACAACCAGGGATTTCCTGACTTTGGTGGGATTTCCTCTCACTTCCTGTTTTGGCTATGGGACAGGAAGTGAAATCTCCCCAATGGGACACAGGTGGCAAACAGAAACCGTATGGGGTTTATAACCCTTCCTTATTCTATCCAAACTGCAACAAAGAAAACAAGTTTTACCTATAGTTCTACTTTATTTTCTTGTACATACCCCCCCTTCCCCCTCCCCCAGGTCTGAGGGCCTCAGTCACCATGCAGAATGAATTCTGACTATAAAGTAGGAGGAAGTAGAAATGTAATGAAGAAGAAAGCAGGGAAGTCATTGGCAGGCAGCTCCCATGACTGATGCTGTTGAGGAAATACAAGTGCGAGCCTGCCTGATGGCGGAGAGGGTAGTACTGCGTGACCCTGCCTGATGTTGGAGAGGGTAGTACTGGGTGAGCCTGCCTGATGGTGGAGAGGGTAGTACTGCGTGAGCCTGTCTGATGGTGGAGAGGGTAGTACTGGGTGAGCCTGCCTGATGGTGGAGAGGGTAGTACTGCGTGAGCCTGTCTGATGGTGGAGAGGGTAGTACTGCGTGATCCTGTCTATTGGTGGAGAGGGTAGTACTGGGTGAGCCTGCCTGATGGTGGAGAGGGTAGTACTGTGTGATCCTTTCTGATGGTGGAGAGGGTAGTACTGCATGATCCTGTCTGATGGTGGAGAGGATAGTACTGGTGAGCCTGTCTGATGATAGAGTACTGTGTGAGCCTGTCTGATGATAGAGTACTGTGTGAGCCTGTCTGATGGCGGAGAGGGTAGTACAATGTGAGCTTGTCTGATGGCAGAGAGGGTAGTACTGGGTGAGCCTGTCTGATGGCGGAGAGGGTAGTACTGGGTGAGCCTGCCTGATGGCGGAGAGGGTAGTACTGCGTGAGCCTGCCTGATGGCGGAGAGGGTAGTACTGCGTGACTCTGCCTGATGTTGGAGAGGGTAGTACTGCGTGATCCTGTCTGATGGCGGAGAGGGTAGTACTGCGTGAGCCTGCCTGATGGCGGAGAGGGTAGTATTGTGTGATCCTGTCTGATGGCGGAGAGGGCAGTACTGCGTGAGCCTGTCTGATGGCGGAGAGGGCAGTACTGCGTGAGCCTGTCCGATGGCGGGGAGGGGTAGTACTGCGTGAGCCTGTCCGATGGCGGAGAGGGTAGTACTGCGTGAGCCTGTACGATGGGGGAGAGGGTAGTACTGCGTGAGCCTGCCTGATGGCGGAGAGGGTAGTACTGCGTGAGCCTGCCTGATGGCGGAGAGGGTAGTACTGCGTGATCCTGCCTGATGGCGGAGAGGGTAGTACTGCGTGATCCTGTCTGATGGCGGAGAGGGTATTACTGCGTGAGCCTGTCTGATGGCAGAGAGGGTAGTACAGTGTGAGCCTGTCTGATGGCGGAGAGGGTAGTACAGTGTGAGCCTGTCTGATGGCGGAGAGGGTAGTACTGGGTGAGCCTGCCTGATGGCAGAGAGGGTAGTACTGGGTGAGCCTGCCTGATGGCGGAGAGGGTAGTACTGCGTGAGCCTGCCTGATGGCGGAGAGGGTAGTACTGCGTGATCCTGCCTGATGGCGGAGAGGGTAGTACTGCGTGAGCCTGCCTGATGGCGGAGAGGGTAGTACTGCGTGATCCTGTCTGATGACGGAGAGGGTAGTACTGCGTGATCCTGCCTGATGGAGGAGAGGTAGTACTGCGTGATCCTGCCTGATGGCGGAGAGGTAGTACTGCGTGAGCCTGCCTGATGGCGGAGAGGGTAGTACTGCGTGATCCTGTCTGATGGCGGAGAGGGTAGTACTGCGTGATCCTGTCTGATAATGAAGAGGGTAGTACAGTGTGATCCTGTCTGATGGCGGAGAGGGTAGTACTGCGTGATCCTGTCTGATGGCGGAGAGGGTAGTACTGCGTGATCCTGTCTGATGGTGGAGAGGGAAGTACTGCGTGATCCTGTCTGATAATGAAGAGGATAGTACAGTGTGATCCTGTCTGATGGCGGAGAGGGTAGTACTGCGTGATCCTGCCTGATGGCGGAGAGGGTAGTACTGCGTGAGCCTGCCTGATGGCGGAGAGGGTAATACTGCGTGAGCCTGCCTGATGGCGGAGAGGGTAGTACAGTGTGATCCTGTCTGATGGCGGAGAGGGTAGTTCTGCGTGAGCCTGCCTGATGGCGGAGAGGGTAGTACTGCGTGATCCTGCCTGATGGCGGAGAGGTAGTACTGCGTGATCCTGCCTGATGGCGGAGAGGGTAGTACTGCGTGAGCCTGCCTGATGGCGGAGAGGGTAGTACTGCGTGATCCTGTCTGATGGCGGAGAGGGTAGTACTGCGTGATCCTGTCTGATAATGAAGAGGGTAGTACAGTGTGATCCTGTCTGATGGCGGAGAGGGTAGTACTGCGTGAGCCTCTCTGATGGCGGAGAGGGTAGTACTGCGTGAGCCTGCCTGATGGTGGAGAAGGTAGTACAGTGTGATCCTGTCTGATGGTGGAGAGGGTAGTACTGCGTGAGCCTGCCTGATGGTGGAGAGGGTAGTACAGTGTGATCCTGTCTGATAATGAAGAGGATAGTACAGTGTGATCCTGCCTGATGGCGGAGAGGGTAGTACAGTGTGCTCCTGCCTGATAATGGAGAGGGTAGTACTGCATGATCCTGTCTGATGGTGGAGAGGGTAGTACAGTGTGATCCTGTCTGATAATGAAGAGGGTAGTACAGTGTGATCCTGATGGTGGAGAGGGTAGTACAGTGTGATCCTGTCTGATGGTGGAGAGGGTAGTACAGTGTGATCCTGTCTGATAATGGAGAGGGTAGTAATGCGTGAGCCTGCCTGATGGCGGAGAGGGTAGTACTGCGTGATCCTGTCTGATGACGGAGAGGGGTAGTACTGCGTGATCCTGCCTGATGGCGGAGAGGTAGTACTGCGTGATCCTGCCTGATGGCGGAGAGGGTAGTACTGCGTGATCCTGTCTGATGACGGAGAGGGTAGTACTGCGTGAGCCTGCCTGATGGCGGAGAGGGTAGTACTGCGTGAGCCTGCCTGATGGCGGAGAGGGTAGTACTGCGTGATCCTGTCTGATGACGGAGAGGGTAGTACTGCGTGATCCTGCCTGATGGAGGAGAGGTAGTACTGCGTGATCCTGCCTGATGGCGGAGAGGTAGTACTGCGTGAGCCTGCCTGATGGCGGAGAGGGTAGTACTGCGTGATCCTGTCTGATGGCGGAGAGGGTAGTACTGCGTGATCCTGTCTGATAATGAAGAGGGTAGTACAGTGTGATCCTGTCTGATGGCGGAGAGAGGGTAGTACTGCGTGATCCTGTCTGATGGCGGAGAGGGTAGTACTGCGTGATCCTGTCTGATGGTGGAGAGGGTAGTACTGCGTGATCCTGTCTGATAATGAAGAGGATAGTACAGTGTGATCCTGTCTGATGGCGGAGAGGGTAGTACTGCGTGATCCTGATGGCGGAGAGGGTAGTACTGCGTGAGCCTGCCTGATGGCGGAGAGGGTAATACTGCGTGAGCCTGCCTGATGGCGGAGAGGGTAGTACAGTGTGATCCTGTCTGATGGCGGAGAGGGTAGTTCTGCGTGAGCCTGCCTGATGGCGGAGAGGGTAGTACTGCGTGATCCTGCCTGATGGCGGAGAGGTAGTACTGCGTGATCCTGCCTGATGGCGGAGAGGGTAGTACTGCGTGAGCCTGCCTGATGGCGGAGAGGGGTAGTACTGCGTGATCCTGTCTGATGGCGGAGAGGGTAGTACTGCGTGATCCTGTCTGATAATGAAGAGGGTAGTACAGTGTGATCCTGTCTGATGGCGGAGAGGGTAGTACTGCGTGAGCCTCTCTGATGGCGGAGAGGGTAGTACTGCGTGAGCCTGCCTGATGGTGGAGAAGGTAGTACAGTGTGATCCTGTCTGATGGCGGAGAGGGTAGTACTGCGTGAGCCTCTCTGATGGCGGAGAGGGTAGTACTGCGTGAGCCTGCCTGATGGTGGAGAAGGTAGTACAGTGTGATCCTGTCTGATGGCGGAGAGGGTAGTACTGCGTGAGCCTGCCTGATGGTGGAGAGGGTAGTACAGTGTGATCCTGTCTGATAATGAAGAGGATAGTACAGTGTGCTCCTGCCTGATAATGGAGAGGGTAGTACTGCATGATCCTGTCTGATGGTGGAGAGGGTAGTACAGTGTGATCCTGTCTGATAATGAAGAGGGTAGTACAGTGTGATCCTGATGGTGGAGAGGGTAGTACAGTGTGATCCTGTCTGATGGTGGAGAGGGTAGTACAGTGTGATCCTGTCTGATAATGAAGAGGGTAGTACAGTGTGATCCTGATGGTGGAGAGGGTAGTACAGTGTGATCCTGTCTGATAATGGAGAGGGTAGTACCGTGTGATCCTGCATAACAATGATGATGTGTAGGGTACCCCCTGGTGGTGTCCCTCTTCCTTCCACTCGGTCACACAATGGGCGCCGCATGTGACAGGAAGAGACTTCAGTAGGTAAGTCAGGGTGTGTGAGCCCTGCGATCCCCGGCTGTGCCAGCAGAGGGCGCTCGCCGGTGTGGAAGCTGCAGAGAGAAGGAGGAAGCGGCGGAGGGCGCAGTGCGGGGCTGGGTGTAGAGGAAGTGGAGGAGCCGGAGAGGCTGTACTGGGAGAGAGGACACCAGGGACATGGCTGTGAACCTCAGCAAGAACGGGGCCGCTTTGCAGGCCGCCTACAAGGATGTGGTGGACGGGAAGACCAAGACGGACTGGTGAGTGTGCTGGCCGTACACCGGAGGACTGCGAGCATGGTGAGGAGGAGGCGGGTCGGGCGGTGTGCAGGACTACAAGTCTCAGCCTGACCCGCATGGCTGAGCTCGGTCCTCTCCCCTCACCCACAGGCATGGACTCCCCATTCATAGGGACTCCATGAGGGGGCGGGGCACGGGGGACGGCAATGAGAATTGTAAGGGTGCCTTGGCATTGTACGCACCGCACAGGAGGCGCAACTCACTGCCCTGGGTGGGAGTGCAGGTGTACTTACCTGCAAGGGGGGATGTGTCAGGGATCAGGTGTACCTACCTGAAAAGGTTAATGTGTCAGGGATCAGGTGTACCTATCTGCACGGGTGTGTGTGTGCCAGGGATCAGGTGTACCTACCTGCAAAGGGGGATGTGTCAGGGATAAGGTGTACCTATCTGCAAAGGGGGGTATAGTGTCAGGGATCAGGTGTACCTATATGCAAAGGGGGATGTGTCAGGGATAAGGTGTACCTACCTGCAAAGGGGGATGTGCCAGGGATTGGGTGTACCTACCTGCACGATGGTGTGTGCCCAGGGATTGGGTGTACCTACCTGCACGATGGTGTGTGCCAGGGATTGGGTGTGCATACCTGCAAAGGGGAGTGTGTCAGGGATCAAGTGTACCTACCTTTAAGGGGGATGTGTCAGGTGTACTTGTCTGCAAAGGGGGATGTGCCAGGGATCAGGTGTACCTACCTGCAAAGGGGGATGTGCCAGGGATCGGGTGTACCTGCCTGCACGGGGGGGGGGGGGGGGGGGGGTGTGCCTGGGATCGGGTGTGCATACCTTCAAAGGGGAGTGTGTCAGGGATCAAGTGTACCTACCTTTAAGGGGGATGTGTCAGGTGTACTTGTCTGCAAAGGGGGATGTGCCAGGGATCAGGTGTACCTACCTGCAAAGGGGGATGTGCCAGGGATCGGGTGTACCTGCCTGCACGGGGGGGGGGGGGGGGGGGGGGGGGGGGGTGTGTGCCTGGGATCGGGTGTGCATACCTTCAAAGGGGAGTGTGTGTCAGGGATCAAGTGTACCTACCTACAAGGGGGATGTGTCAGGCATCATGTGTACTCCCCATGCACAGGGGAATGTGTCAGGGATCAGGTGTACCTACCTACAAGGGGGATGTGTCTGGCATCAGGTGTACTCACCTGCACAGGGGTATGTGCCTGGTATCAGGTGTACTCACCTGCACAATTTTTTGCGCAATAAACAAAACAAGACGGACAATTTTGAAAATACTGACTTTTTGCTATAAAACATGTCAAGTAAAGAAATTTAAAAAATCAAATTTCGTCATAAATTTAGGCAAAAACGTGTTCTGCTACATGTGTTTGCTAAAAAAAAAAAAATCCCAATACGTGTAAATTGGTTTATGTGAAGGTTATAGCGTCTACAAATGGCGGTATATATACTAGAGTTTTTATTTTTTTATACTAGTAATGGCAATTGGTGAAGGGGTTAACATCTGGGGCAATCAAAGGGTTAACTGTGTGCTGTTTTACATGATGTACTGTGTGCGTTTTACTAGGGAAACATGCTGCGGTGTATTTCTCTGCTGTGCAGAGAAATACACAGCAGCATGTCCTTGCTGGCAGGAGAGAGACCTGTGTTGCATATATACAGGTCTCTTCCCATCCGCTTTACTTGGGGATCACCGGGTGCCGGCGTGGAATCTCCGGCCGGGACCTGGTAATTGAAATTCGTAGCTGCCAATGGTGGCGCGTGAGATCGCCCCCTTCCCGGATATGCAAATCATGCGTATATATATGTGATTTTGCGCAGACCTGCCGCCCTGAAGCAGTAGTTCTACTATAGGGTTGGAGCAAAGTGGTTAAATCTTTACAGCTGGCAGAAGCGGGACCACTAAAAGTTCATAACACAATTCATAAACAGTGACTGGAAGCTGTCAGTGACAGTGTGATAACTGTGTTGGGAACATTAAAAGAGTACAAACAAGGGGCACTGTTTGAAAAAATATATGTGGCCTCCCTCTGTGCTGCCACATACAGTATAAACAAGCAGACAAGCATAAGAGGTAGACATGCCTGCCTTTGTTCATCTCCATTCCATAATTGATTGATGGGACTAAGGACGACCATACATGGGTTCCTGTTAAACCAGATGAATTTTGATCTATGTATAGGCTTGCTGGTTGTACAGAAGTCGATCTACCGATCAACTTGTGTACAACCAACCTCTTGGGTTTTTCCAGAATGATCAGTGCTGCCGGCTATAGCCCGATCATTTTATTCTTTGCCGCTATAGCCCGATCATTTTATTCTTTGCCGGCTATAGCCCCGATCATTTTATTCTTTGCCGGCTATAGCCCGATCATTTTATTCTTTGCCGGCTATAGCCCGATCATTTTATTCTTTGCCGGCTATAGCCCGATCATTTTATTCTTTGCCGGCTATAGCCCGATCATTTTATTCTTTGCCGGCTATAGCCCGATCATTTTATTCTTTGCCGGCTATAGCCCGTAGCACCGATCATTAATTCTGACTGTCAGAATACAATAGTGCTGCGGGAGTGATTTTTTCATCCACCTCAAATGTCTGGATGGGGGAATCAGCTAATTTTTTCTTTCAACCTGTAACGGTTGTGCGCAACAGAGACATGGAGCTCTACGCGACATGCCATCTTGTTAAGGTGTCAACATTTTTGTTTTTCCTCCCCTTCCTCCTCCTCAAAGCTATGGAATTTGTAGCTGTAACTTTTAACGAACTTCAAAAGAACCTCTTATCTTAATTAAAACACTAATAGAGGTCAGCGTCCAGACCTGTCCAGGGCTGTAAACAGCTAATTAGTCTTGGCAGGATGTCTGTTTCCATGAACCATGGAAAACACTTTCCTCTGCCCTATCGTAAAACCATAATAACTCAAGACTCTAGCAGTCAGGTGACGTATAAGGCAATTAAGGCTCTAGGAATGCAGAGCATGCCATAAAACGTCTATTCCACATGTAACAATTCAACATAGAATTCAACAGGAATAGGGCACATTAATATTAGGTATATATTTGAATAGGGAATATCATAGCGAACAAATCAAGGTCATACATGACTATGTTAGCACATAGGAAAGGGGAGAAAGCAGTCTCTTCCCTCCAAGGTGACAAAGGTATGCTGAGTTTGGTATTCCTTGGTTTGAAATATAATTCTGAATAATAATCTGCCAGTTGCTAGAATACCTTCACGTATTGGAAGTTGTTAATATTAGTATGAAACTGTATTTGGGACTTGGTCATAAATTTGGTGACCTCCTAGCACCCATCCCCTAAACAGGAGGATTGGTCAGTTGTTCTCGGGCAACACTCCTTTGACATCATAGAAAGGGAATGACTGGATCTAGTAAGCGAGCTCTCGTTTAACAGCAACCAAGGAACATCTTAACAGATTTGAGAGCCAAGGCAACGTTTTTACTTGGACAATTGGACTCTGCTGAACCAGGACTTTGCAAGTATTCTCCATTTTCACCTCCTTTTATTTCTCTGTTGCATTATTGTTCTCTTTGTTTCTTTGTAACATCCCTTTCTGTAAATATTCTAATTGCACCATTTGACCTTTTCATTAATAAACTCTATTTTGAAAAGTGTTAAAAGTATCTCTAAGATCCCGGTCACACTGGATGCGAATTGGCATGCGATGTGCATGTCATGCAACTTGCAAATTGCAGCCTATTGTCCATAATTAGAGCGGTCATATCGGTGCGGTTCCGAAGTAGTGCATGCACTACTTTTGGTGCGATTGGCATAGACATTTGTATCAGATGTCTTGCAAATTGCACCTGAAATCGGCATGTCATCTGACTTTGAAATCGTGCAACTTCACTGTAAGCCGCATGATTTCAAAATAGGGTTTGATGTGACCGGAGTGTAAGGCTTTTAATGCAAACTGAAGAATCCCTGTCTCTTGAAGAGTGCTACTGTATATATAATAATCCTCTGAATATACCGGTCTGTGGCGACAGTGTCTGTTAGACGTTTATTGTTCACATTTGTTCTTGCTAAGTTTGTGAAGGGTTGATAAGCCCAAAGCTAGCTGGTGCCAGTTTGGAGTTTGAGGGGTTAATTGCGTTATTAATTAACCCAGTGACAGTCGTGAGCGAGAGTGGCATTGTTACGCAAGTGACAGTTGGTGTGAGTTTGGCTGGCCCTTTGCCACAAGTTTGGTGAGAAGGGAAGGGATTGGGCACTGCATTCATCACACAACCCACTCAAACCCAGAAAAAAAGTATTGTATAGCTTCTTAACCCCTTCATGCCTAAGGGTAAAACAAATTTTAACATCTAAGCCCAATTTTGCAGCTTTGACGTGTGTTTGTAAAACCCTACATATCATCACAACTACGTTGTGCATCCAGGTGTATTATATCGTTTTTTTAAGGACAAATTGGGCTTTCATTTGGTGGTAAATGGTAAGGGATATCTCCTTTTAATTTGTCTTTTTTATTATTATTATTATACAGGATTTATATAGCGCCAACAGCTTGCACTGCGCTTTACAATATAAGGGAAACAGTACAATTATCAAAGGTAAACTGGCCCAAAAAATCTTTTTAAATTTTTGCTGTATATTTCTTGCTACTACCATAATCTACCACCAAAGAAAAACCCAAAATAAATTCTCCTGCTTCTGACGATCGCAGCAAAACCAAATATATGTATGTTAGTTGTTGTTTGTACCCATAGTACAGCCCAGAAACAATAATGCGTATTTTGAGTTTTTTAATCCTGCCTAAGATACACTGATACTAATTTTACAAATTAAAAAAAATAAATCCTGACCAAAAAAAAAACTGACCTTGAGCTAAGTACTAAACCTGGCACTGACCTACATCAAACCTTGATCTAGTTATTTTATTTATTTATTTTTTTACACATGCTTTTTTTTTTCTCTCTCTCTCTGAAAGGAGAGAGAAAACACGGGGGCGGCGGCTTTGCAGTGACTGATCACTGATAGCCAATCAGATGCT